ATACTTGGATTCGTGATTTCCTCTCAAAAGATAAACAGTTCTTGGAAAGAACACTTTCCAAGCCAATAAAATTAAGAAACTTTCGAGACCCCAAGCACCTCTGTCAACGTAATCGCCATTGAAGACAAAGAATCGATTTTCTGACGGAAACCCAGCATCGTGGAGGAGAAAAAGAAGGTCGTGCAACTGACCGTGAAGGTCTCCAACGACGACGACTGTGGATTCAGAGCCTAAGTTGTCAATGGCAACACAATTGGGCTCTTTGTGGAGGATCTTGGAGGCGCAGAGGACCAAACTATCAAAAACCTCGACGGGAAATACGTCTGGCAATTGGGTGGGCTCGAGATTTCTAGAAGCCCAATCGAAAACGGACATGAGGTTTCGTATCCAGTTGAGGCTGAGCTTGCCATCGGGAGGCCAAACAATTGGGATTTCGAGCTCAGTCGATGGTGGTGATGGGTTGTCTTCAGAGTTGGTGACGATGGAAGACGATGAATCGAAGACTGGGGGTTCTGCAACTTCTGCTGCTGGTGCTCCAGCAGATTGGTGATCTTGGGGTGTGAGAAGTGGAGAAGATGAAGATTGCGATGCAGATGCTGCTGCTGCCCTTTCTGTATCAGAATTGCATGACATCTTTTTGAAGATCTCAATAATATTTTTTTCTCAAACCCTAACAAATACAAATCAATATGAATTTATGAATTTATACTTACATAGATACATTCATCAGCCAAATTTAGCAGCATATAAAACAGAGTGTACTGCACTTATTCTAATTATTCACTTCCAGTTTTACACACAATTTTTATTTTTATTAATATTTTCTTTTTTCGTATTTGCTTGTAGTGCACAGTGACGTACAGTTCGCTAATTCACAGTTAATTTGTCAAAAAAATAATTAAATTGACAGATAAAGGCCGCGTCAGCATAGAAAATACCCGCGAAACGTCCAAACTTTGCTGAGTTGGTGTTGTTTTTTCTGTTTTGTGCTATTTAAACTCAAAAAATTTGATCTTCATATTTGGTATCAAGGCCTCTTTACAATTATTTCAGGTAACTTTTCGGGCCATA